TATCCATATAATGTTGAATAAATATACTTTTTATATATAGAAAGGTGTAGCCCTCGATAAGATCTAAATCTTTCATTTAAAAAGTATTTTTATGCAACATGAAATAAGAAATATATGGATTTTTTGTGCAAAAAAAGATAAAGAAATATATGTTTTTTTACTAAAAAAAGATAAGCTTTGGTACGCAATTAATATGCCCCTTAAATTTTGTATTATTTCCTTCAGCATTTTAACAGTCTCAAATGAAAACCTTCAAAACTAAAAACTTGTAAATCTTATCGATAGCTACAATTTTGGTATAAAAAGTATCTTCATTTCACACATTTTAAGAAAAATATAATTTTCATGAGGCAACAAGCTCTGGTGCACGATTAACAGGCTGCTAAAATTTTATATTATCTTCTCGAGCATTTTAACAACCTCAAATATAAAAACTCAAATTATAAAGTTGTAGTTCTCAATGAGATCTACAACTTTGATATAAAAATTATCTTCATTTAACACCATATAAAAAGATATTATTCTTCTCATGCGATAAGCACTAATACCAAGTTATTATTATGCCGTTGAAATTTTATATTATTTTTTTGAGCATCTTAACTTCTTTAAATGAAAAAACTCAAAACTAGATGGTTGTAGATCTTATCGAGACCTACAATTTTCAAATAAACATCATCTCTATCAAACATCATATTGAAGAGTTATGATTTTTTTTAAAGTTCACTCTTGTCACACCACTCCCTATGGAGTGACAAAATAATACTGTCATGCTAATGGGAGTGGCGTGATAAGGTTTTCCACGTAGAAAACACCGTCCAACGTGGCAGATCATGCCGAGCCAATACATGTGGCGTGACAATATTATTTTGTCACGTCAGCTGGACTAGAATGACCAAACGGGTTAGATCAGCAAAAAAAAATTTAGACGCGGTTACTATTAAATATTAAATAAAACAGGATTAAAAATATAAAAAAATGCCGCAAGAGAAAAGAGTTATATATACACGTTATAGTATGGTCCGTACATGGATCAACATATCATATTGATCCACGAGAGTTCATGTGGGCCATTAGGATGGACAGGCCTGTTCTAGATCATTTGGGGCCTAGGACAACAACGATGACGAAGCCCCAATTCATATTCTAACATTGCAAAACATTTATTATACTATTGATATCTATAACATACAAGGTTTTTGTGTAATACAAAAATACAAACTTTTTGAATTTTTTGCTTGATGTGTGTTGCATATAGTTGATAGATAAATCCTAAATAATCAACTTTCCTCTTCTCACCCTGCTTTTCAAAAGCGCGACTTTAAAATTGTTTTCGCAACAACCTCTTGTCACGAAGTTGACGAAGTCAACGACATGACAAAAAGGTGTTTTCAAATAAATTGGTTGAACGTAAGAACACTTCACATATGTTTTATATTAATTATTTCTAAAAGCCTAACCCTAATACTCTCTCATCTCTTTCAAAATAAAGCTTTGATGCATGTGTGTTTGGTTTTAATATGGGTTTTTATTTGGAGTTGTTCTCCCAAAAGCCTAGCTAGAAAAATAAGAAAACCGTCTCCCATCAAAACCTTGCCGCCAGCTAACCTCCTACAACACCCCACGCCAGGACCACCATGCCACTTACAGGCCCAGTCATGACCTCAGCGGCCCAACCATGCCACCCCCCTCTTCTCCACAACCACCCCCTTTGTTAGGATCAAGGAGCCGACTAAAGGGGGGTAAGCAACTAATTAAGGTGCCAAGATGGAGAGAGCTCACCTACATAAGTCTACTTAGCAAGGTCACATGAGCCTATGGAACAAGTACTCTAAGCACATTAGGAGCTCATACAAGTACTAGTGAGCAAAGCACATAAAGCCTAAGCACACTAGCGCTACTCGACTAGCAAAATTACGCAAGCTTAACTAGAGAGCTACCACAACATAGCTAGACAAGCTAAGCTACGCTACTTAGCTACACAAGCTCGCACAAGAGAGCAACTACTTTACTACACAAGTAAAATAGTAACAAGAACAACACTAGCACAAGCATGAACAAGTAAGAACAAGCTAGTGTAAGAGATTTGCAAGCCAATAGGAATACAAGTGTTGACACGATGATTTTTATCCTAAGGTTCGTTGGTTTGCTAACCACACATAATCCTCATTGAGGCAAGCCCAAGGTTGCCACTAATCCTCTTGCTAATGGGTGGCCCCTAAGCCCACACTCTCTCCATAAGGAATGCTCACACAAGATGAGCTCATGCACTTGATCTGCCAGGACGACTTGGCGCTCTTGACACCTCACTCTACTAGTGTTGCTCCTGGTGTCTCCCGCGGGGTAAGCATGCACAACTTCAAGCGGACTTCAATGGAGCTCACAAGCTCCAAGCTATCTATAAGGTGGCAACCTCCAAGAGTAACAAGCACCATCGGCTTGCAACACAATAACCTAGTGCCACTCGATGCAACCCACTCAATACAACGCACTAGAATCGCTCACTCACTTAACAGATATGATTAGCACTAATCACAAGTGAGTTGGAAGGCTCCCAAGCACTCTCACACATTGACACTAAGCCCCCAAGGTTCTTAACCATCTCCCATTTCCAGCCACCCTCTATTTAGAGAGGGAGTGGCCAACTAGCCATTAGGGAGGCTGATCCCGCGCTCAGCGTTCCTGGCGGTCCATTGCCATGATGCCAACGGTCACTGATAGCCTTCAAAAGGCTACTGCGCAAGCCCTATCATATAGTCCGATGCCTTCGAGAATTAGTTCGATGGTTAGGGTCCGATGCTCACTAGAGAGGTCCAAAAGCATGTTTTGGAGCATCGGATTAGCCCGATGATTAGCATTGGCTCAAACGATAATCCGATGCCCTCTCACAGCTGCTGACCCTGACCAGGTTGTCCCACTGCCATATAGGGTGACATGGTTACGCGCTGCTCTTTCGTGCTGCTGCTGGACTGATCGCCAGGATGACCAGCAGCCCAACAAGCCAGCTGCGAACACCTCCTGTTAAATAGCATATAGTCCGATGCATCACACATCGGATCAATCCGATGGTGCATCAAGTTGGATCAATCCGATGGTGCATCAAACATGCCATCGAGCTCCTCCACGAACTCCTTTTTCAAGTGTGCAAACAACCTAAGTGTTCCACCAACTTCTGCATGTGAGTTAGCCTTTCACAATCATTTTTCAAAGGATTTTCACTTGCACCTTTCCACGCCAATTGATCCTAACAACGCATGCAATGTTAGGATCACTCAAGTGGAACTAGATGACCGATATGCAAATAAGTTTGTCTCTCTTAATAGTACGTCCATCTATCCTAAACTTAGTAAAACACTTATTTGCTCAACCTTAGACCAGAGAAATAAAATACCCTACAAGTATACCTTTGCTTTGTGCATTCCATTTCATCTCCAAGTCGTTGACGCTACACAAGCATCCAATCTCCATCTTCATCAAATGATGAACAATGATCATCCAACATGTAGCCAACCACGCTACCTTTTATCATTGCCCATATCATGAAGCTCCTCCATCATTCTTCATAAACCCACTTGATTATCAACACAAATCAACACTTGGCTTGATCTCCCTTGAATGATATGATCCACTTCATGTCATCACGTGGCATTATTGGTTCATTGATTGCAACTTTGTTTGCTCTTCACTGTTGCCTGGGTCCGTCGGCGCCATGTCATTGACCAAGCTTCATCGCCACGCGGTCCGTCGCTCGAAAGCATCTACCTCCTACTGGCAAATCTTTTATTTTTCAATTTGGTTTTTACGTGTCAGCATAAGTTTGGCACTCAAAGTTTGGTTCACCTATCCACTTGTTGAGAGGCTCACAATCGCGAGATTCATCACATACTGCCATATTTCTAATGCTGGTGGAGTTCCTTTCTTGCCGCTAATGATTAAATTTGAAGTAGTGTTATACCATAGCTGTACACATCAGACTCAATCGACAATCAGCCTGCTCTTTTACTTTTGGGAGCGATAAACGATGCTCTGAGATATGAAAATAGCTACTCCCTCTGTTCTAAATTATTAGTCGTTTTGACTGTTTTGATATATTGATTTTGCTATGTATCTAGACATACGTTATATCTAAATACTTAGCAAAATTGATTTACTAGGTTTGACTTTCCGTGTGAGAGAATTTTTCAGGATTTAATGACGTTGTGCTTTCAGTGGTAGGCAACGTTCCCGTCGACAGCGAGTCGTCTATGGCGACTTCGTCAACTCGAGGATTTTGCCGGCCCAATCTTCTAAGATGCTTATAGGGGTAGGGTTTGCGAGCGTGCATTCATAGGATTGAGTGTGCGTGCGTTGTGAAAGTCTATGTTGTACTGTGTAATTAAAAAAAAAGTAAAAGCGACTTAATTATAATTTGGAACAGGGGAGTAGCTAAGAAAATTACTAAAGCAGTACCTAGAAAATTGTAAAAGCGTAGGAAAAGACAAGAGACTAACGTGTATTGGCGCTGTCTCACCGTGAAACTGCCACAATGCTAGTGCAGTCTATACATCTGCCCCCGGCTTCAGGCCTTTACTGGTATGGATTGATATTCCAAAGTCAGAAACCTTTGGTCTCAAGTCTGCAACCAAGAGTGTACTATTTTCTAGCTTCAAATTCCAATGAATTATGCATGGCCTGCATAGCTTGAGCAGATACAGAGCTGAGAACTCCATGAGATATATCCCTTGTACTATTGGACAGCGTTTTGGTCAGTCCAGTGGCGCCTCTAGTGCTTTATTGCCTATAAAAATATAGTATGTAAATAAGAAATTCTGCACATTGTAATATTTTTTTAGACAAGAAGGTTTCCCCCACTTTATTACGCATAAAGCGATAAAAAAACATCCAGGTTCATAGTTCAAGCGTATGTGCGCCCGCAGAACAGACCTTAAAGGCCAACCAAATTACAAACTTAATCAAACTCAGGATTAACAGAGTCATTCTCTGATCTCATGCTGATGATAGACTCAGATCTCGTCGTAGCTGTAGAGACCAGTTCCAAAGCTTGGGTAGTCAATCGACCTGAACCTGATATTAGTGAACTTCTGGCATCCTCCCAGCAAAGCTCCAAAGGTTGTCCCGCCTCCGCTTGTTCTCCAACCTCCATCTTGAACATAGGCAGCCATCTTCGTAGCGTCTAGGCTGTCCACACCAGTACCTGCTTCTCGCTTATCCAAACTCTTCCCTGAAAACACATATCATTTCGAAATTTCCATAAGCACCACATCACCGCTGCACAAATGATGTTGTTAACAGTATGGCGCTTGCTAGCAAGCCAGCGGGATGCCAAAATTTCATAACTGCAAACCTCAGGTAGATTCAAGAAGGACAGTACAACACGCCATAACCGTTTGGCAACAGAACAATGAAAGAAGAGGTGGTCAACCGACTCTCTTTCAGTGCAAAAAAGACAAGTTTGATCTGCTAATTCTCTTCGTTTAGCCAAATTGTCTCTAGTCAAGATTCTATTTTTAGATAGAAGCCACAAAAACATTTGGACTCTAGGTGGAATCTGCAATTTCCAGACTGTATGAACATAGACCAGGGTTATCCCCTTATGATTAATTACTACATATAAGGACTGCACTGAATAGTTGCTACCGGAGCTATAGCTCCATATAATTTGATCCTCATCCTCCAGTAGAACTACATCCTCTACTATTTCTAAGAGCTCAAACCACATTTGCATAATTCTTTCAGAGACAGTTCTCCTAAAAGAGAGCTTCAAAGTTTCTCCATCCCACACCTCTGCTATTGTCTTATCATGCTGTTCATTAATAATGTATAGAGGCCAGAATTGTGTAGCCAAACTTGAATTATCAAACCAAATATCCTCCTAGAACCGAATTTTGTGCCCATTCCCAATTGTCCACCTAATACCCATATTAGCAGCCTTAATGGCCCAGAGAACCCCCTCTCCAAAAGGGGGAAACTTTTAAATCTGGATAGCACAGAAGGTTTGGTTTCTCAGTCTTGTACTTATAGTCAACTATTTGCCTCCAAATGGGAGTGGAATCTAGATGATATCTAAAGATCCAGGAACTCAATAGACACAAATTTAGATTTCTTAAATCTGGGACACCAAGGCCCCCCATTTCTTTTCTTTGTGCTACAAGTTGCCAATTAGCCAAATGATACTTATGATTAGTTTCACTTTTATTCCATATAAAATGGGCCATCTGAGAGTTAATTACCTCAATAACCCATTTAGGAAATTTTATAATGGATAAAAGGTAAATGGGTATACTAGGCAAACAAGCCTTAAGCAAGGTCAGCCTACCAGCATAGGACAACAATCTACCCCGCCAGCCAGCAATCCTTTTAATAATCTTGTCTACTACAGGTTGCAAATCCTCTCTTCTGAGTTTGGTATAGTGCAAAGGCACCCCTAGATACTTAATAGGGAAATCACTCTTCTTACAACAAAAAAATTTTGCAAAGCAATTTGCTTCCTCCTCTTCTAGCCCTATAGTAGGTAGATCACTCTTATCATAGTTAATTCTCATGCCAGACATAAACTCATAACAGTTCAAAATCCATTTCGGATTGTTACCTTTCTCTACATCATTCTCCAGGAACAATAAAGCGTCGTCTGCATATTGCAGGCTAATAATTCCTCCAACAGTAACCTGAGGTAGTAAACCAGAAATCAAATTATACCTAGATGCCTTCAAAAGCATCCTAGTGAACACATCTGCAACTAGATTAAAAAGCAGAGGTGAGAGAGTGTCCCCTTGTCTAAGTCCTTTCCCGGGTTTCAAGTAGTTGCTATTATCTTCGTTAACCCGCACACAAATGGAACCACCTTTAACTAATCTCATAATCCATCCTCTCCACGTACTACCAAAACCTCTAGAGCAAAGCATATCCTCTATAAATGACCAACTTACACGATCGTATGCTTTCTCATAGTCTAGCTTCAGGATAATTCCTTTTTCTTTATTTCTATATATGTCATGAACTATTTCGTGAGCAGCAACCACACTTTCCAAAATAAACCTACCTTTGATAAAAGCAGATTGATTATTAGTAATCAGTCTGTCAGCCACTTTAATGAGCCTGTTATTTATAGCTTTACCAAAAAATTTAAAACTACAGTTCACTACTACAGAATGGACTTATTGTCCCGGGCGGTAACAGCCTTTAGTCCCGGTTACCGCGCCGGGACAACGATCCCGGGACTAAAGGTGGAACCTTCAGTCCCGGGTCATCGAGCCGGAACTAAAGAGGGACCTTTAGTCCCGGTTGGTAAACCGGGACTAAAGGCCCTCCAGCCGAGCAAACCTGGCGCACCCTTTAGTCCCGGTTGGTAACCCCAACCGGGACTAAAGGTTCCTTTTCTTTTTCTTTTTTTTTTGTTTAATTTGTTTTCAGTTCAGTTACACGTATTTGTTTAATATATAATATATTTTTATGTACGTATTCTACGCTGCTAATATAAATACACGCATGCGTATAATTACATCTAATTCTCATCTTGAGCATTATTATATTCGAATAAAGTATGAAACTATATATATTATAGATATATATATATATGTATATATACAACACTTTCATAATCTTGTTCTCGAAAATAACGATATCAATAAACATTTAATTTACATCATTTATTCCTTAGGATCAAAGTAGAACTCGCCGTTGGGATTTAGCACTTTTTCTAGAAGATATCCTACTATTGACTCTTGAACTGCTTTTAGATGGTCTTTTTGCATGACCCTTCGTTTCAACCATTCAGTCTTGCATTTGAAATAAAAGGAAAAGTATTAATACACATATATGCATATATATTCATTTAAAATAAATAAAATTGATATATCGTATTTCTCGAGGACATCTTCAGGAGTTCTTCTTATTTTGCATGATGATAAATTCACAAATGTAGTATCCACACAAGTTATTACATGGTTCTCGCCATAAACACCACTGCATTTGAGAAGAAGATTATTCTCATCATCTCACACGTAAATTGAAGTACGATATAGTAATTAAACACGTGGGGAAGTGTATATAGTACAACTTCTTTGGTATTTCAACTACATTAAGTGGTGCCTTGCAATCCTTGCGATGTTGCCGAATAAACTCTTTCCAAACCCATGCGACCAATAATGTACGATCGTTAATAAATTATGGCAAAGTCTATTCAATAATAGTTGTGCGCGAGATCGAAATTACCTGGATAATGTCTATCATATCTTGGTATAGTGCCCGTTCTTTTCTCAACGAGTCAAAGATTAGTAACCGACTTGAGTTTAACTCAATAACAATGAGTATCCAATGAAAAGCTGCATTGGTTTATACACACACGTACATGCATATAAGTTGTATTGATATTACATAAAATGTGTAGACTACATTATTATTAACACTTACTCAAAGTTGTACGGGAAAAGTATTGTTGTCTTGTCGTCTACGCTTCATGAAGAACATCATGATATTCTCTGTGCTTCGGATACCCATCGCTCCTTGACAATAATACCGGTTTTGAATACGATATAAGGATCAATGAAGCCAACTTTGGTGTCTTGTATTCTTTGGAGCTCGACATCGGAATCAGAGTATATAAATATAAGTTACATGTGAGGATAATTATATACACGCACGCATGGAAGTGAGTTTATTAAATAAAAGTAAGAATCACTTACAAACAAAAGGAGCTAATGATTGATTTATCCAGGCGTCCATGTGGTATAGTTGATGCAATTCTTGAAACTAATATGTAAGATGTCATCGCCATGGAAGTAATGATGGTCTCTAAATCGACAAAGATCCAATGCTCACCGCCACACGCTTTGCATGCACCACTTGTTGAGCAAGTACATTTATGCACTCCAATTCATTCAGAGTCGCGAGGTTGTACTGGACTTTTGCCATATTTATAAGTCTTCCGGTATCAACTTCCGTGTTCGGATTGGAGCTTTGCCCAATCAATTGATCCAAGGTTAAACCAGTATCTTGAAAAAAAGCATTAAGGGCTTGAACCGACACTTCTCCAGAGTTGTCTGGTCGATAGACTTCTATGTTGGAACCATATTGATTAGCAACAACAAGATTTTGCATTGGTTGCTTCATTGTCCGAGCTGTGGGACATCCTTCCCCGATGCTCTTTTCCTTTTCTTCTCACGCATCATGTGACTTCACAAGGGAGCGGTCATAGTCGATAGTGGTGAAGGCTTACGAAGTTCAATCATCTTTTTCTTGTGAGCATCGACCTTCTGCCTCAACACATCTCGTGGTATGTAAAAGTACGGCTTCTCCTTAAGCTTCGCTTGACTCTTGTTTTTATATCTATAAAAAAATCTTTCACTTTTTTGTCTTCTTCAGCTGCTATTTGCTCATCAGTCTTTTCAGGAAGTATTTCTTGAGAAATAACTCTTTTTCTCGGGGTCTTCTTTGCCGCCGGGACCTTAGACGTCTTTGTAGTGCGTCGCTGTGGAGGGGGTTGGGGCGGTGTTGGAGACCGGCGTGGAGGCGATGAGGCCGGTGTTGGTGGAGACCGGCGTGGAGGCGTTGGAGATCGTTGTGGAGGCGGTGGGGCCGGTGTAGGAGTTGGAGATCGTTGTGGAGGCGATGGGGCCGGTGTAGGAGTTGGCGATCACCGTGGGGATGAAGTCGTCTCGCCCCCCGCGACGCTGTGATGAGATGGGGAATGAATGATTAGGCTAGGCTGGGGGGAGACCCTGCTACAAAAACAAGTTGTGTGTCAATTATTTTTGAAGCCAATAGAAAATTAATGGAAAATAATATTTCATTCACTTTCATTCGTACCTAGGGTGAGGTAGGGGAAGCGGTGGCGCCCCAGGAATGATGATGAAGCGTTTGCGCCATTGAATAAATGTCTTCTCCGCTTCTCCTAGTGTCTTCTCCCCATCACCGCCTTCAATGTCAAGAGGAACATTGCTGTAACCTTTGAGCACTCTATCGACCGAGACGCTAGCATATCCAAAGTTGAATAATCGACCCATGGATTCTTGGTGTCTTCGTTCGGTCTATTGGAGATACAACCCGATGTACCACCATGATTGATGCATTATTACCATCCGGAATGTGCAGCTCACATGTTGTTAGAGGCTCGGTAATGTCATCAACAGGAAGCGCAACCCAGCGTCGTCTTGAATAAGCTGGC